TCAGATCGCATGAGTCGTGCGGCACAGCATACCGTCCCGTTAAACAGTTTGGGCCACAAATCTTTTAACCGCTCGACGTACGTGGGTCCACGATATTCGGGACGTCGCGGGGGGGATCGTGAAAAGCGACGGGATGACAAATTTGGGTCATAAGTAAGATGTGCTAAACGGCACGGGGGCAATATTTCCCCCTTAACTTAAGGTATAGCGAGGAAATACGGTAATTGCGGCACAATCGTATAACGCCCACTCGACTATGCTCGTTGTCTGAATATTCGGTTGTATAGTGTGATGGGATAGGAAACGCATCACAGTAGGCGAAATTGGGAGGTCACAGGTCAAGGGGCAACGGGAACAGGTCAATATAGACATTTTCTGAGGACATGGCCTAATGGACAGAGTTGGAAAACTTTTGTTTCACGCGCTGACCTTACCATTTTTATCACTTTATGAAAGGACCATGAAATGTGCTTTCCACTTGACGTGTCGAAGAGTAAGTGTCTGATAACCTTTTGACCCTCAAGAGGAGGGTTAAACATGGATTCCTGAACTGCCTCAATGATGTCACAGTGTTCTCATATTCATGGCACATCCATAATCTAGAAAGCCATGCAGTAAGCCTCGATAGCCCAACGGGTACAGCACAGGATTACGGCTCAAAGGTCCTTGGATCGAATCCAATCAGATTTTTTATTATTTACCTGTTTTCTGTATTTTTCTATCTTTATCCATTTAACTATTTTTTTCCAATTAACGCAAATATTTACATGATTTATTTACAACAATTTAATAACAACAAATAATTTTGACAACAATTAATTGTTTTTGTTTTTTTAATGGGGTTAGGGTTAGGGTCACAATGCACCATAAAACAGGAGTTTTAGGCATGCAATTTGTATCAACCAATGGGATTTGGGAGGTATGCAGAATGCAGAAGGTTGCTGAAATGATGTGTACGCAACTGCGTATCTGCATATCTGCGCCTAACAAAGGCGTCACTACGCACGACTTAAATGTTACGCTTATAACCGTAGCAACAGACCTCAGATGAGCCCAGACGCTCTGCGGCTCTTGTTAATGCTATTTGTCATCATAGATCATATTATGGAGAGATAGATGGGCCTGACTGCGATTCGGTGGTAATTAATGCAACAGCAACTAATATGTAACAGCTAGTGCTCCTGAGGCTGTTTATACTCTATGAGTTCACTCTGCATTCTGAAGAAAAAATAGATATAATTAAAACGACTGCATGTGGCCTGTACTCGCAATTTAGCACAGAATGTCAAAAAAATAATTGTGTGCTGCCGTGTGCATTGATTGTGCCATCAGTCTTGCGTGTTAGGTTCATTTACTTGCGAGATTAAAATAATTATGTTTAATGATTTGTTGTTAAGGTTTTTTTTTCTCTGGTTGAAAGTATTTTGCTCTCGTACATGTATGCCCTAAGGGTGAAATTAAATAAATATAATTAAGAATTTTAATGAATTACATTTAGCTCCATGCGTGGAGAATCGACAAAATGGAGATGTTAAGGTTACTCATCAGTAATTTACTTTCGACTCGAGACTGTGCTTCAGTACCTGTTCTTGAATGCATGGGAATACCCAGTCGTGTTCATTTGCACTAATTTTACTCATATAAGAATGAGCATTTTCACGTGTTGCTGCAGCAGAAAGTGAGCTTCTTTCTAAGAAAACATCTAGATTGCTTGTGATACATAGCTAATTTATTCATGTTTTTTGAGTGAAATAGAAAACTGATCAGCAAACACATTTTGCTCAGTGCATATCTATTGTGAATTTTTCGTATTTCCTGCGAATGAAAGAATAGACAGATTGGGCAAGGACAGTACAGCTATGCAGCATATTGTCATTCCATTCGATGAGAAATTGGAACTCGATCCCGTCTCCACCACGTTTTTAATTGCTATTTTTGTGATTGGCATTCCTAGCAATGCTGCAATTTTGTTGGCGTACACGAGCATCCATCGGGTCAAGCGACGTGAGAAGTTGGGTATTGTGATCGTGAGAGCGCTTGCCGTTAGCGACATTTGCGTTTGCTGCAACGTTCTTTCACATTTCATTGAGATGAAACACAACGTTCATCTGTGTCGGCTGCAAAACGTAATGCAATGCATTCCGCTAAACTTCTCGGCCGGAGTTCTCGTGGCTATCGCAGTGGAGCGGTACTTGGCAATTTGCCGGCCGTGGTTTAGGATTACCCAAAGATTCGCCGTTATTATGGTAGTGGCTGCTCTGCTCATGTCTGTGGGGACCAGTACAATGTTTGCTTACCCACATGAAGTTGTGTCTGAAAATATTTGTATCATTGACAACCAGAAAATGCTGAAAGTGATCGTTACAGTAAATTGCGTACTTCTTTACTTTGTGGTGACGCTGCTGCTCATGGTTCTCTATGGCCTGGTTTTCAGAACAATCCTGCGCCGTGGCAAAAGGATCGGTGTACATTATGGAAAGGCTAATTTTAAGAGTGTGAAGGCTGACAACAGCATTGGACTAGAACAGCAATCCTCTGAAAAACGTACCGCAGATACGATTTCCCAGCGAGGGGTAAAGAAGAAGAGCTCACTATGTACTGGTGTTGCTATGGAGGGTGGCACCATCGCCAAAGAAATCACGGACGCCAAGAAAAAGCAAATTCTAGACGTTGTTGAAATCGAGAGAGCCTGTCCAGAGGCAGTAGCTGGCCCTAGTCGTTTGGGCACGAATCTAAGTGAGGGACTATGGTACAGTGAAGCATCTGGCTCAGTGTTTCCAGAAAGGTCTACACCCATGCCAACGCTGAAAACAGGCAAGCGCAACTTGTCGACGGGAAACAGCAAGAGAATGTCCTTACAGTCTACAACTGCTCTCATGTTTAGCCTCATAACAATTTCATTTCTTCTCTGCTATCTACCACTCTGGCTCGGCACATTGAGCGTTTTATATGACTGGGGAATTCGTGTTCCACAGCTTGTATCTCGATTTTACTATCTCAATGCACTGGCAGATCCCCTTCTTTATGGAATATTTGATAGAAGAGTAAGAAATTATCTATCTAAAGTAAAATCCTATATCTGTTGTCGAAAGTCAAGAAGGGTATAAACAACAACCGTTGCATTTTTTATTGCAATTGCTGTCATACAGTCACGTTTCTTGCCATTGTTTCACATCACTGTCGCTGTATTGTTGATAATGTGTCGCTGAATTATTATTGCGGTGTCAGTCTCTATTGCATTGCTCCAGAACATTGCCAAATCTCTCAGTAATAAGTGCTGCAGTTAGCTCAGCATGTAAATCTGCAATGTGCAACAAGGTTGTGTAGGAACTATCATTTTCATTTTGGCTGTGGGTGCATCCAGAAAGATAGCTGAGCTGTGCCAGAGACATGATGCCAATATATCGCAGGAAGTTCTTCTGCGTATGAAGTGTGTTTTTGAAAACCTAGGAAGATGTGCTAGATGGGGAAGAGACTGGTTACTGTACTTCAATTTTTTATCAAAAATGTGATGAAAAATGTTAAAAGATCTATGCAACATACGTGAAGCTATATTGTAAAATCGGCAAATCCATCTATGCAATGATGATTTAATTGTGATCTGGGTTTCATTAACCTTTACCTACCCCTAACACTAGGAAATCATACTCTACAGTCTACAGGATATTCTCTTGCTGTATGTAGATCAGGCGTCAGGCAGCACTAGTCACAGCTACAACTCAGCTGATAAGCTGTGAGAGCATACATGAAAATGTATCAGCACGTTTTATAGTTCCAGCTATATACCACTGTCTGGTTTGTATAACGTCGTGACATAATGTATAATGTTAAAACAATAGCGATAGAGTATGTGTGATTAAAAAATAATAGTGTTCATGTTTGTACTGGCTCTGTTGTCAGAAAGTATTAGTGCCTCTATAATTAATTGTAACTTGGATTTTAAGGTTTTAACCTGCTCTGTACAAAATAAAAATTGTAACTGTTGTTAGTCATCATCTTTTAATGTTTATCTATCATTATCACATTACTGTATTTTACTCACTATTTTTATATTCTTGAAGCCAAAATTCAATATACATGACACCATACCTGACATTTTTTACAAGTAACAAAAGTGTAATTTGACCGTTTTGAACCATCTTACTAAACTTTGTGTAAGCTTTACCAAAAAACTTGCACGGAAAATTATATATAAATTTGTACATGTATATTTAATTAGAATGTAACCTAGTCATTTGAACACTTGAATATGAAGTTTAGGATCTATAAATTTAACATTTTGCGTTGATAATCAACTATTGACGAAGATGCATTCTATATATATACAATAAGTTGTCACTGATTTGTCTTGTAAGGAATAAATTGAGAAAAGTAACTAGTTAATTTTCATCTGATTTGTATTATCATTGACCCTGTTGTTTAGAAATTTAAATACTCCTGACCTTACACAAATTCTTAGTGTGAAATAATTCAAATAAAGAAATAAATTTTAAAAGAAAATTGTTAAACACATTGAAAATAAAGGCAAACACTTCTGTGTCATGATTCTAGTCTTTACAAATATCAGTAATATTTTGCAAACTTAATGCACTTGATTATGAAATAATATGAAGTTCATGCTCAATTATGTGATAGTGCACGGAGGCTCCACCAATGGCTAAATATCACGACGTTTTTTTAATTGTGAAGCAATAGCAGAGAAAAAGCTTGCATTTTGATTCTCCTTAAACTACGGCGGTTATTCCAAGCAATTTGATGTCTGTTCACATTGGATTGATGCCAGCATTCTATAATAATGAACTTAACTTGTCACAGGTTGATCGTGAATTTGACTCAGCCGGCATTTCTTTGCTTTAATGCCAGCATTCCCGAGGACAAAACCACGAGAAAGTTCTACCTTGAGGTTATAGCTCAGTTGCAGTGTTACAAGGAGGTAGGTCAAGGTTTTACAATGCTCATGCATTATTGGTTTTGTAATTACTTTTTTGCCGTATACACTACTAATAGAGTGATTGTCTACACTGTCTAAAAACCTGTTTTTAATTAATTGAAATTTGACTTAAAAGCTTTATATGTATATATAGGCAAAATTTTCTTTTTAAAATTTTTCAGGCCTTTGCGGACACTGGAATTCTTGGTGTGCTAAGTGAAAAACTAGCAAGTCTTCTGGAAAAGGTACAGCTTATTTGACAAATTGACGATGTGATCTGTATAGTTTGTTTATTTATATATTTAATTAAATTGTTGCTTATGTTAAGGAAGCAATGTGCATGTTTCTAGATGAGTGGGCTCTCTAAATGCACGTGGCTTTTCGAATTCAGATTTCTCCTGTGTCTAAGATGGTACGGGTCCACTATGGAAGGTGACGTTTGATGTATTTCATATAGACCCTTGCCGTTATTTATTGATGTTGCAGACATGGGAAGACAGACAAGAAGACGATAGACTGGTTATTGAACGGATTTTGATTCTGATAAGAAATATTCTCCATGTGCCAGTCAACCCTGAGGATGAGCAGCGTACTGATGATGATGCCAGCATTCATGACCAGATCCTGTGGTGAGTGCCAGGGCTGCTGTAGTCCACATAACGTTCCGTCATCCGTTATCACTATTAGTTCAGTGCACAACTTAGTACTAGTTAGTAATTTACTCTTACTTCTACCATTTACTACTAGTTTCATTATGAGAAGAGAGAGTACTAATTAGCATTTTAATGCAAGTTACGCCCAGAACAAAAAAACGACTGAACCCTAAGCTGCTGGTAATTGGTGCTTTGCACCGTCAGCTGGGTCCCCTAAAAAAAATTTGTACAGATATTTTACTTGTAAGGGTTCATCTATCTTTTACTCTGTTTGGCTGCATTTTTGTCTCTGCACTATACGTCTGAAACGGCGTCACGTAGTCCTGCTGAGGCTGGCAGTGGTAACAGCTGCTGTGGAAGTACGCAGAGACCTGCCTGCCTGCGTGTGTGTGTGCGTGCGTGCGTGCGTGCGTGCGTGCGTGCGCGCCTGCTTGCGTGCGTGCATGCGTACACATGAGTGCGTGCATGCCTGCCTGCGTGCGTGCATGCGTACACATGAGTGCGTGCATGCGTAGTTTTTTGCGTACACATGAGTGCGTGCATGCTTGCATGCCTGCGTGAGTGTATGCATGTACACATGAGTGCGTGCATGCCTGCCTGCGTGCATGCATGCGTGCACATGAGTGCGTGCATGCCTGCCTGCGTACACATGAGTGCGTGCATGCCTGCCTGCGTGCGTGCATGCGTACACATGAGTGCGTGCATGCCTGCCTGCGTGCGTGCCTGCCTGCGTACACATGAGTGCGTGCATGCCTGCCTGCGTG